TGCCGTAACTAGGATTTACACAAGCTTCAGTCTGGATCCAGAACACCTGAGAAGAGATGATGCCAACCCCTCAGAGGACCTCAGATGATGCCAACCCTGAAACAACATACAGAACTACCACATTTTGCTATAAGTTTGATTGCATCATATAATAATTGCTGTTAATAGTGTTCATCGTCTGTTTTATTACGTCTTAAATTGATTTTTCCGTACATTTCTGCCATATGTACATTAACTGACAGTCACCACTGATAAGCTACCACTAAATATTGTAGAAACTTAATTTGCTGTAAAGCTGCTTTGCAATGATTTGTATCGTGAAAAGCGCTGTACAAATAAACTTGACTTGACTGATATTGTTATAAAGACAGATTTAAGAGGTAAAACTTTGTGAGTTTTTACTCACCTCCAGCCGTCATGGGGCAGGTAGCTAAAGATCCCATCCACCACGCTAGCTACGAACTGGCCACCAGTGATAAACAGGGTGTTAATAGTGACCAGCTGACCTCGGAGTTCAGAAGGTGAAACCTCAGCGATGTAGACGGGCACGGTCATAGACGCAATTCCTAACACACAGGACATAAAAAAACGATAAGGCACACAAACTGAACTCAAATAGTTTTACTATATATAACCTACCTATCCCAAGCCCAACCGTAAGCCTCCCACACAGAAGAACCTCTTTGTTGTGTGCGACGCTCAGGATGATTCCTCCAGCAGAGAAGATGAAGCTAGCGAGCAGTATGCAGACTCTCCGGCCGAAGAGTCCGTTGAGATACCCCCCAGCCAGAGAGGAAACGGCCGCGGCACCAACAGTGATGGACACCAGCAGCTCCTGCCACAGAGAGCTGAGGTTCATCTCCCTCTTGAGCAGGAGCATGGCTCCAGACACCACTCCTGTGTCATAGCCAAACAGGAATCCACCCAGAGCCGAGAAAAAAGCCAGGGTGTAGATGAAACATGGAGAGCTGTGCTGGACTGAGCGGATCTGATGTGTGGATGTGGGCGAGTCATGTTCTTGGTTGTTGGCCTGGACATCATATGGCGTCTTTATCAAGCTCCTCTCGTCCTCAACAAATCTCCTGTCTCCTATCAGCTCCTCCATTCTCTGCAGCTTATGCACATTGTCTCCTAAATCACAAAGGAAACACCTTGAGATCATCACATGATCAACATAACAAAGGCCATGTAACCCAACCCAACCCAACCCAACAAGTTGGCATTGCACACACTGAAACCACAACAGTGAGACATCTACAAATCAAATCATATTAATTCTTTAAATGTCTAGAGATCTTTATGAGGGATTTATTTTACTGTACAGCAAAATCAATCAGATTTTTGTGGAAAATATCATACAAACACTAGGTTATTGTGTGATTCGCAGTGATTCGCGAGCGCAGTTGTTCTTTTGAATCGATTCTAGGTAATGACTCCGTTGAACCGATTTGCTTGTTTGTTTGTGAATCACACGTTTTGCCTGTACAACGTATTTTCACATATCGTGGTGAATACAGTGTATTTTAACACATAAACACACGATTAAATGCCACACGGCGGACGTTTGTAAACTGAGCACAACGAAACAGTGAATCACTTTTGGATTCGGTTCACTGAAGAGAACCATTCAAACGAACCGATTCTCTTAAATGAATCAGACTTTTCGGGTCCACGCCGCACAAACCCCAAATAAAAGAGGCTCTACGCTGAGCCAGCAAGCTAGCGAAATCGCTTCATTTAGTGTGTCCTACAGTGTAAAATGTTTCATCGTCTGTAAACGCAGCGATATCTCGAGTTTAGCTACAACAATACTACATCGAAATTAAAAAGTGTCGCGAAATACATTTTCTACGTTTAGATGAATGCATTCGAAAGCTGTTTTTATTTTGATATTCATACTTTATAATATTGATTGCACAATAAAACCAATGCACAACTTCCAATATGCACACAATCTACTGTAGCAACAGCTAACGCGGTTTAAAAATGAACAATATAAGTGTCTCGTTACCTATGCATGTGAATGGCTTAAAATAGGTAGCCTATATTTGCGTTCTCCTTTTGTAACCTACCAGCAAGACGTTTTTCTCGGTGCCTTTGCTTTGACAAGGCACTCAATCCTCCTTCTCTTGCTTTCACTCTGTTGTGCTCGAACAGGAAGTTCGTGAATTGTTGCAGTCATATGATTCATAACGCAGCGCCGATCCAACACGACCGAGATGTCTTCTTTTCACCGCCGAGAATGAAATCGGGAACTAGAGCCTAGTCATTTCTGTCTTTACTTTATCATAACTCATGTTCTGCTTTGCATAAATATGGCAGAAGAGCTCGTGCGCTGTGAAACGGATGATGACCTACAGCAGCAACACTGTGTCCACATGGTCAGTGAGTATCAGAAGCTGGTTTAAACCTCTGTTTGATGTCAGATACAGAAGATCATGGCTGATAAAGAGGAGCTAGGGATCAGGCTGAAGAAGCTGCTGGTGAGGTTGAACCTTCAAGAGGGGAAGCAGTTGGGCACCATGGTCCAGATCATACAGGACCTCCTGTTCCTGTCCCATACGGATCACTGTGGTGAGTTATGAGCACTGAAGGAGAAACTGTAGCCTGTGCTTTGTTAACATTTCTGATGCATGTCTTAATATATTCATAGACAGCTATGCAGACGTTCAGAATGGACCCCCCTCTGTGTGCCTTTCCCAGTGGGACATCTGCTGGGATATTTTTAGATTTGTGTTCTTCTTTTGTCCTGCAGTTGAGCTGTTTTCCGATCAGAACGTCCACATGCCTCTGATGCTGGTGCTGTCCTCGCATTTCAACAGCAAAGTGCAGCAGGTAGTCAGCAGGTTTTGCCTGCACAGTTTTCCTGGCAAATGCTCAAAAGCTCGCCAAAATGAATTCTATAAATTGAATAACATTCTGTCATCATTTAAATGCCCTCTCATGTCGTTCCAAACCATACGACGTTCTTTATACTGTGGAACGGAAAAGAGATATTTAGAAGAATGTTCATGCTGCTCGTTTCCGTATAATGAACATGAATAGGGACTGAGACTCCAAAATGATAGAAAAACACCTTTAAAATACCATGAGATGCCATTACACGGTTTTATTTTAAGAGTGAATGTTCAGATGTTAAAAATCATCTTTGAAATCAATGTTAATTATTTGTTATAAATTATTAAAATAAAAATCAGATTAAATATATTAAAAAATCATATTTATATGTATAACAAAATAATATAAACATTTTATATTATTTAAAAAATGGATTTATTTATTACTGTTGTAAGATCTTTCCTGCTGTACATTTAATTTCAGTGCTTTATTCACTAAGAAAAGTGTTTAAAGGTTTTTGTTCTCATCACAGGTAGGCTGGTCTCTGCTGTGTCGTCTGATGGAGATCTGTCCCAACACTCTGGATAGTCTGGCCAACCCAGATGAATATGAGTTTACTGAGGTGCACAAGTAAGTCTGGACTATTTCTATGAGCTTGTATGGGCTCCTGTTTTTATTGTATAGTACAGTGAACTTTTGTATATATGCTGGTTAAGATTAAAGGTGTTTGACTAGGAGGATTTATGCATTTATAAAGAAATTGTGAATCAATTCAGTTCAGTTTATTTCTATAGCACTTTTCACAGTATATACTAAAGAAAGAGTGCCTTAGAAAAAACGTCTAGATGTTAAAGTATATGAGAAGAAATCTTGGGTGGAACAGATACTCGTTGAGGAATTCTGGTCTGGCACATATTAAACAAATAAGTAAACAAATGTATGCAAAGTATTCATGCACACACATAGGCACATGTAATTTAGCTGCACAGTATTGCTGGCAGGTTTTAATAATCTGGTTGAATTCTAATGTTTTATTATTATACTATATGTTGTAGCGTCTGGACCAATCAGTTATTTCCCTTAACCAGGAAATGAACGTTCTTAGAATTGACAGACAGTTGACCCTGAGAGGTCAGCTAAATATCTACAGCGGATCTAAATATTTATAATTAATTATAACTAGTTATGATTAAGTATTCATATTTCCCCATGAGCTGATTCGCAACAGTGTTGTATATAAATAATACTATTATTATTATAAATATTATAGAAATCCATGTGAAATGGCAATAGTAAAGATGCAGGCACAACGATAATGGCAGATAGGGCTGGGAAAGGGTGGATCTGAGTTTGACAGGTGCTTGTAAACTTAGGAATGGAAAATATAAATGCATATAAAGAAATAAAAAGATGTTAGTGGAAGAAAGGCATATATAAAGAAAAAGTGAATAGTAAAATAGTTTAAGGCCATTTAAGAAAATATATTTCATCCGCAACTGGATTTAGCTGTGTTTAGCATTGCAAATAGTTTAGTAGAAAAAATGTACATTGCACAGAGAACCAGTGTGCTGATGACAATATGTGACGGATAAGATCATACAGTATTTGTAGATCTAGTTAGAACTTTAGCTGCTGCTTTTTAAAGAAGCTGCGGTGCAGTGTATTTATGAATGCATCCAGCCAAAAATGTGTTGTAATAAATCAAGTCTCGAAGTTATGAATGCGTGAACCTAATGTTCTGCTTGAAAACAATGTTATATAACTAATTTATGAGGAGGAATAATGTAGAGCTAATCATATCACCTAAAGGGAGCATGTACAAGGAAACAAGGGCTCAGGACCGAACCATGTGGCATACCATAGTATTATATGGCAGGGGTTTTCAATTAAAATTACAAGAGGTCCTATTTCTGTGTTTCCTTCACAGCAGAGTTCCAAACAGTACTTTTTCTGAATATTTATACATTTCCACAGCAACAGTACTTTGTTTAAATAATAATGAAAAAAAAGGATCTAAACCAGGCTGTTTGTGTGAACACAACTGACTGAAACTTGTAATAATTCATAGACACAAATATTTCTAGAAATGTTGACAGAAAACAAGCATTCTAAATACACTGAACAAAATTATAAACGCAACACTTTTGTTTAGTCAGGTCGAGACCCCGATGAGGACGACGAGCATGCAGATGAGCTTCCCTGAGACGGTTTCTGACAGTTTGTGCAGAAATTCTTTGGTTATGCAAACCGATTGTTGCAGCAGCTGTCCGGGTGGCTGGTCTCAGATGATCTTGGAGGTGAAGATGTTGGATGCGGAGGTCCTGGGCTGGTGTGGCTACACGTGGTCTGTGGTTGTGAGGCCGGTTTGATGTACTGACAAATTCTCTGAAACGCCTTTGGAGACGGCTTATGGTAGAGAAATGAACATTCAATTCACGGGCAACAGCTCTGGTGGACATTCCTGCAGTCAGCATGCCAATTGCACGCTCCCTCAAAACTTCTGTGGCATTGTGCTGTGTGATAAAACTGCACATTTTAGAGTGTCCTTTGAGGTGGATGGATTATCTCGGCAAAGGAGAAGTGCTCACTAACACAGATTTAGACAGATTTGTGATCAATATTTGAGAGAAATAGGCCTTTTGTGTACATAGAAAAAGTCTTAGATCTTTGAGTTCAGCTCATGAAAAATGGGGGCAAAAACAAAAGTGTTGCGTTTATAATTTTGTTCACTGTATTTAATTATCTTCTTTTTATTTTAATTATGTTTATTTGTTTCAGGGGCAATATTTGTTTTTATAGGTGCTTTCATAACTGATAGATTGAATAGAATTTGGAATGTATCCTATTGAGAAGGAAGAGGTAACACTATTTAACATCAACTGTAGGTAGTTACTAGTTATAGGTAACTTATAGTTATAGTAACTAGTTAGTTATAGGTAGCACTTTTTTAAATTTGGAATTGTTTTTAATTTTTAAATTTTTTTTTTTAGTTTTGAAAGCCAAGATTTATAACCATAAACAACTGAAGTTGGTTGTAACACGTCATGTTGTCTGAGATACTGCAACTAATTTTTGTTGAAATTCATTGCTGCTATCCATGTCCAGCAGGTTTATGCAAGTGTTTGCATGTTTGTTCACAGGCAGATTCTTAAGGTGCTTTCAATGTATTGCAATGACTCCAAGATGATGATGGTGGGCCTGAGAGCTCTGGCTCTCCTAATGAAGTCAGGTAAGACTTGCTTTTAAATAATGTTTATATGTACTGATTATACAACCATTATGGTGCATTGGGTCCGAATGCATTTTTTCCAATTCATTTGATCTCTGTAGGGATTTCAAAAAAAGTTATTTCATAAAAATCTGAACCAAACCAGTTAACAAGGAAACAATACTGTGTACCTAACATATTTTATGAGGCAATAAACTACTTGTTGCAATAAGCACTGCAAATGACATAATCAGTTAAGAAATGACAGTACATTATACCAATATGGATAATGAGAAAGCATCTCATTCATTCAAGTCTTCTTATTATGAATAGTCCACATTCCCCTTACACAAACGTAATTATGATTATGGTTAGATAAGCATGTGTCTTTTCTCTTGAGGTGCATTTTTCTGCTTTCCTGAAGTGAAACTGTTTTTTTTTGTGGGTCAGATGAGATTGTGATGCAGGTTCTAGATGAGGAGGAAGTGGATGTGTTTTCCGTGGTTCTGGAGGCCATGGGGTCATTTAATGACAAAGAAGAGGTTCAGCTACAGGGATGTGCTGCTTTACAACTACTGCTGCAAACAGGTAACAGTGATTTGTTACAAATTTCCTTTGAGTACATGCAATAGTACGGTAACCGGGAGGGGACGTCTTCGGTTCACTTAGTTTTGGCGTGGCCACGAGATATTAACTCGTGGGAACGTGATATGATGTTGTGGCCACGAGATCATTTTGTCGAGGTAACGACATCCTTATGTCGTGGCCTCGAGATGCTATGTTGAGGGAACGACATCCATTTCTCGTGGCCACGACTTCTTATGTTGAGGGAACGACATATTTTTCTCGTGGCCACGAGTTTAATGCGTAAACAAACCTGTGTGACCATATCAACCCAAAATGATCTCGTGGCCACGACAAAACTAAGTGAACCGAAGACGTCCCCTCCCGGTCACCGTACAATAGTAATATAGGGCCCTAGGATTTCTGCGGTGAGAAAAACATGGCGAATAGCAGTTTTGTCTACTACATACTCAAGCACACTTGACGCTTGTGTTTTCAGTGTCTTCCATTTCACTATATGAGGACATGAACACATGAACTTCATCTCCAGAGCTGCTCTGAGAGTCACTTCACCAGCTTTACACCCTTTCATTTGATTAAACGTTCTCCAAATACACAGAAAATTAACGACCTTCACTACAACCCACCAAAATAAAAGTTCAGTTTACATTTACATTTACATTTACATTTACATTTAGTCATACCTTAGAGCTTTGTCGAGAGACAATCGGAATGGTTTGGAAACACATGATAGAGGTGGAAAAGAGAGGACAGAAAAGGAGAGTGTGTACAGGGAAGAGAAAAATTATACTTAAGTGGCTAGGCGATTTCATTGCTCGGTGAAGTCGCACAGGTAAAGTCGCAGGTCTTTACACTCGTTGGTCTTAACACAAGGAGGCCTGAACGCTTCCGCTGATGCTTCCGCGTCAGCTCACAGACATCAGGTAAATACCCAGTCTAAAAGACTAAAGTGAAAACAGCTGTGGCCGCCTTCTAATTAGCACAGCCAATAGTCTATAGCAGGCCAATTCCTAAAATCGAAACTACAGTTCGCACTTAAACGCAGGAAGGGAGCAATTAAATTACACGCGCTCCTTCTTTGCCGAGGACAATTATTATAATTACCAGAAAGTGCAATCAAAAATACAAACGCAAACAAAAATATAACGTACAAATAGGCAGAAAACGAAATATTCCTTCCTAGCAGAAAGTAATAATTCAAACAGCAGATCTATAAACAGTTTAACTGAAAGAAATTAGAAAAGAAAGTTATTTCTGTTAGACAGCCGAATTTACTTCTCAAAGTCATAATAACAATACTAATATTGCAGCTTATATAATATTTTAAGAAATATCACACACATTTTTTTCCATGTTTTAATTTAAACTGTAAAGCACTCTGTTTACCAAATATGAAAGGAAGTGTTCAAATTTCAGATTAAATTATTTTTTTTATTTATGGTTTATTTTGATTACTACTGTTTTTGATAAATCTGTATCAAATAAAACAACACAGAATTGAGAAAAAAATTCGGAATATAATTTCTGGTAAAAAAAGAAAAAAGTTTTATTAACTCATCATTTTTGACCATTAAAATTGAATTAAACCATTGAAATGGAATCCAGAAAAAATGAAAACCAAAAATACAGACCTTAAAAATTAAACAGAATTTAGGAAAAATAAAATACATTCCATGATGCTTTCCTTAGCAAACCCCACTTACAGGTGCATCTCAATAAATTTGAATGTCGTGGAAAAGTTCATTTATTTCAGTAATTCAACTCAAATTCCAAAATCATCACAATTAAAAGAACTAAAGACTTAAACTACTTCAGTCTGTGTGCATTGAATTTATTTAATACACTTGTTTCACAATTTGAGTTGAATTACTGAAGTAAATGAACTTTTCCACGACATTCTAATTTATTGAGATGCACCTGTATGTTAATTCCAGTCTAATTAACCTGCTTGATTGTCAGTTTCTGATGCTCATCTGGTGGAGTTCATTGAGAACAAGGACCATGAGGTGGTTTTGGATGTGCTCAGGCGGTTCATGGACAGTGAGAATGTGGTACTGCAAGCTCTGAGGGTCCTCATACCACTGGCTGCTCCAGGTATAACACTTGTATGGAAGTAAAATAATGGCATATGTATTTGAAACAAAAAAGCACGTTGAATAGCGGTCCATTTTATTTCACTTTCCAAATTCGCTTCCACAAATTCAGTTGTTATAATTCGGCAGAAAATTCGCCATTACACATCCGGCATGTTGGGTAAAATAGCATTATAATCTCCTTTGTGGTAGAAAAAGCTGCTTACATGTAGGCTACGGGAAACAGCGAAGATGTTGAATTAAACATACACAATATCAGCTTTACCGCATGTTTATACTGGCCCCGATAATCAAAACTTCTACTTAGCGCTTGC